AAACGTGGCAGCCATTTTTATTCAAATGAAGCACAGGAGCTTTAAATCCCCACTTCATTTGCAATGTTGGTATGTCTAATTTACATCCTTCTGGCGACAGAGGGATGTAGTCTAGACATACCCCAAAACTCTTAACATCCATCAGTGGGTTTACCTTATAACACCCTTGTGAGCAACAGCAGAATTTTCATCCCCATTTCACAGATGAAGACACTGAGGCACTGTGCACTTACCTAGCAAATCAGTAGGAGAGCCATGAACAGAAGACAGGAGCCAGTCCTGGGCTCTAACAATTAGAAATCCTACCCTCCTCCCACAGTGACAAACTGGAATCAAGGGGGTTGACTCACACTCTTCCTGCTCTAACTAATAGATACTCCCCTTCACAAGCAAGAAATGTAAGTTATGAGTATTCACTCCACAGTCTCCTGCTATGACCACTAGACACATAGCTTCAACATGTTTTGCATGTGACAAAGGATACTTCAGTGAAGGTAAAGGATGTCCCTCATAAAGAGGGGGCATTCAGAGTGGAACACCCAGGCTTACCCATAGATTTGGATCTAAACTCTTCCTCCTGTCCTCAATCCAGCCGACTGACTCCCAGAACATGAAGTACTTCTTAAGTGACTTCTTCCTAGAGAGAAGGACTATCCACTGGTTAGGTCACTAGCCAAAAATTTGGGAGACTTTGGTACAAGTCCCATTTTTGTAATAGGCTTCCTCTATGATCTTCATCAAATCACATTAGTCTCTCTGTGCTTCCATTCCCCATCTTTAAAATAGGGACAACAGCATTGCCCTGCCTCATAAAGTGTTGTGAAGATTCAGATACTAGGGTAATGGGGGTCATATGTGTGACTAAGATTTTAGATTTCTTGTGCAGCTGCCCCTCTTCTGCTAATTAATTCTCAGACTGCAGGCAATTAAGGAATTGATTCAGGAAGATAGGCTTCTTCTGAGCCATCTGTTGGGGAAACATCTGGTCATTTTCTGATACCCTTACACAGAGGCAGGCACACCTGGCTCTTCTGCCCAGCAGCACAACTCCCAATGACAGTATCTAGACTTGTCATTGAAACAACCCCAGGTCTGATTAACCCCTAGTCCAGGGAATGAAACTTGTGAGGCTGGGGCTGGATTGATTAAATCTGAGCATATTTGGTTCAGTTGGGCTGAGAGCGCTGATCTATACTGAGCGGGGAGCAAGTATAGAGAAGCCAGGGCGCCTACAGAGCTCAGTGCATTTGGTGCGCATGACATAAAGGCCTGCAGATTAATGAATAAGCGCAGTGCCAGACACACTTTGGGTGTGTGCACTGAGGGAACGTCTGGCCACACATACTGATCTGCTAGTGTTTAGTTCCCCTGAACGTTCTAGTTCAGTAAATGTCATTTTGGCTGTAAAATTCCATGTGATGTCTTTCTAGGAAGATGCTTTCAGTAATCCACATTCCCAACATAGCAGGGTCTTGTAGGCTCATGCCGGGAGCAAGATTAACTCATTGCCCTTGCATGGCACCTGCCAGCCAAGGGTCTCAAAGCTTTTTGCTCCACCGATCTAATAACATGGCACAAGCGAGGTTACCTGAGGGCAATCCTGCTGCTATTTCACGTCACCTCCTGTGTTCAGCCCTGGCTGAGGGTGAGCCAGCTACTGCTTGCTCAGGCACTTGCCGCACTGTGGGTTTGGTCACTGAAGGTGCTGAGGCTGTGGCAACATCTGCAAGGGGATCTCCCATGCTGAATCCTCCAGCCGAGGCTCTAGGAGCATGTGGAGGAGACACTGTGCAGTCCCTGTCCCAACTGGCTACTCCAGAAGCCTAGGAGGAGGAAAGAAGTTAGGTCAGAGCTGCTGCTGGTCTGGATTGAGGTCCTGTAGCTATTACAGCCCATCTCTTTCTCTGCTGCTGCTACATGCCAGCCCGAGCCCAGCCTGCAGCTTGAACAGCTGCTAAAGGAGGAGAACTAAGCCCTGATCTATGCCACAGACTTGTGTCAGTAAATCTACATCCACACCCCAGGACAATGGTTTTATCCCAACATAACTCCCTGGGTAGACAGTGCTATGTGAAGGGGAGGGCTTCTCCTGTCAACACAGCTACTGCCTCTCAGGGCATGGAGCACCTATGCCAAAGAGAGATACTCATCTGTCGGCATAAGCATCTTCACTAAGCACTATGCTGTAAAGTAGGCAAGCTGTGAATCCTTCTTCCATCACCTCCTTTAGAAAACGTGAAGCCCCACTTGACCTTTTTGCCCTGAAACACACCAACTAAGGGAGGAGAGCCACCAGTCACAAAAAACACAGGAGACTCCCCCTTTCCTCCTCTGATGCACCAACCCTCCAATGGAGGGGATACATGCCCAGCCAACTGATTCTGCTTCCAGCCACAGGTCAGTGGATAAACTGCTTGCCACCTCTGCCACTGTTCGCAGTTCAGGGAGTCCCGTAGGGCAACCACCAGGAGGCTCTGAGGAAGGGAGGAAAGCATGCTGGTCTAAGCAACCTTCCCAAGTACCCTGAAAAGGCAGCATTTTCCTGCTCCATGCTACAATCAGGGAAACTGAGGCACAGAAAGCACACGGTTGCTGAGTCTGAGTCCAGGTCTCCCATGCGTGCACTCAGTTGGCTGAACTGTGCTCAGTGTTGAAAAATCTCACAATTCTAACACATCTCTCATGGTATTTGGTATTTTTCTTAACTCTTCTCCTCATCCCACCACTGCTGCAATTCAGAGACTGCATGGGAGTCTCTGCTTTCTTCTTTTTTTAAAGTAAGATTCTTGGCCTGGCCTTTGCAAAGAAAATCTGGAAACCATGAAAAGTGGAGCCTAAAGGCTTGGAAAGCAAATGCAACCTTTCCCTCTCCATTGTTTGATAGGAAAGGATGGTCCAGCTGCCATAGCCTAGGATTCGGGAGTCTGAGGGTCAGTTCCTTTCATTAGTGCAGACTTCTTGTGCAAGTCCCTTATACCCTCTGTTCTCTGTCTGTACAGTGCGGATAATAACATTGCCCTGGACTTTTGTGAGAATAATAAAACCTAGCTCTTATTGAGTGCTTTTCATCAGTTGGTTTTAAAACACTTTACAAAGAAGGCTTGTATCACTAGCCTCATTTTACAAATAGGGAGACTGAGGCACAGAGCGGGGATGTGACTTGCCCCATGTCAGCCAGCATCCATAAAGGTTGTGAGCTGTTCCCATATTATGGAAACAGAAGTACCATGGATATAAATTTATTCTTTCATAATTTGGGGTGGGGAGAGGGACTCCTGACTGTTGAACAGCTGGGGCCGGTAACTCTGCCTCTTCTATCACACATGTGCCTACATAGGGGGCTTTGCTGCCCCGAGCAGGTGGAGCTGAGAGTGACATACAGGAGAGTTACTCCTGCCCTTGGTGTAAGTCAGGGGTTCTAAAACTTGTGATACCACGACCCCCCTTCTCCATTGCTGCAGCCAGCCTCTCAGTTGCTTGCAACCCCCCTCTAATGTGTTTGTGATCGCCCTCTAAGTTGCTCGTGACCCCCCGGGGGGTTGGAACCCACAGTTTGAGAAACGCTGGTGTAAGGAGCAGAAAGAATAGAGGAGCAGATGTGGATGAGGCATAGTAAAAATCATTGCAGCCCTGGGCCCCAGAAACCCATGCTCTGCGTGCTGTATCTATAGCTATGCCTACATTATATAGTACATTGTGAGACCCAGGCTTCTGGACTTGGTGTTTCCAAGGCTGCATTTGGGAATCGCCATCGCCTTGTAAACCCGGGCTTCCAGTCGGCGCTCATGCGTCCACACGGCACCATGCAAACCCTCTGACTCAAGTTTGGGGTTGGAGCGGGGTCCACACTGCACGAGGGCAGGGCTCGGACCCAAGTCACAGAGGGGTCCACCCGCCGCGGAGTCTGCGACCCAGGCTGAGAGCACTCGCTTC